CAAGCGTGCGCACGGACGACCCAGATGCAATCGCACGGACAGTCCAGATTCAATCAAAAACGGACGGCCCAGATTTAATCAAAATGGACGGCTGTGATCAAAAGGCAAAAGGGTATAAATAGAACCTCCACACCTGACCACAAAAACCCTAGCCGCCTGCCCTCGCCGGAGAAGACGAACCAGACACCGGAGGAGTCGGCCGCCGCCGCCCGCTGCCGCACCGGGGAGTTTTTTGACCGCCGATCGAGGTAAATTTTATACTCCCGACTCATTTTTCCACGCTGAGTTCCCCTGTGGCCAAATCAGAGCCAAAATCCCGGCCAAATGGCCAGAAAACACAGCCGAAACCCAGCGGCGCCGCCGCGTCCCTCCTCGATTTTTGCCTCCGATGAGGTCCTTCCCGGCCTCCGTTTGATGCAATTTTTATATCACCGTGATCACCATTCTTTTCTTTACAGGTTGATCAGAGCCGAATCACCAAAACACGAACCTCGCCGGAGAGCCGCCGCACCCGAGAGCACCGCTGCCGGTAAGCTTCGGTTTTTCGTAATTTTTTGGCCCCCCGAGGGCCCTAGAGTTGTTTTATCACAGGGACCGATGCAAGTGTGGCCGAATTCAGCCGAAAACGGCCAACCCGAGGCGAATCGCCGCCGCTTGCGGCGGCGCCGTTGCCGGAGCACGACGGAGCCACCGTGCCGGAATTGCGATATTGGCCAAAAGGGGCCTGGGTCTAATTTGAAATTTTTTTGGGACACGTGCAGGTACCAGTAGTGCGTTTCAGTTCCCCGAAAAAAATTCAAGAAAAATTAGGGACAGCCTGTAAGCGCACTGTGGAGCCGTGTTCGGACCCCGAAACGAGTAAGGACCCCTCACCCTATTTTCTATCACGGTATTAAAGTTCAATAAATGATAAAAGTGTTTCATGAATCAGTAGATGTGTGAAATTGTTTAAGGTCTCTAATGGAGCCCGAGTCTGGTGTATTTGTCGGTCAGTTGTTGTTTGTTCTATTTTACAGTTTTAAATGCAGTATGATGTCTGATGTTCTCATTTCATAGTTTCGTGTGCATAAATCACTGTTTTATTGATTATGGGTTGAATGACTGAGAACCCGATGTTGTATGTTGGCTTGTTTGGCATGAATTACTTGTTGCTTGTTTGTGTGTGATTTGATGATGCTGACTGAGGAAAAGGGGAATGAAAGGTTATGTAAATTGATAATTGTATAATATAGTCAGCCTGACTAGATATCCTGGGAGATGGTGGACGGACCGGGTCCGTAGGGAACCCTACTGGGATTGTGGTCTCTCATACCGAACGGGGTATGGAGACCTTATGTGTTTTGGCGCCCATACCGGACGAGGTATGGGGACGGCCCTGGAATCTGATTACAAGTGTTAAAGGTTCACGGGTAGCGGGACCCCTATGGATCCCCATGGATACTAGTAGGCTGGTAAATAAAGAAACATATGTTGTGTAATGATTGAGATGCAAAAGGCATGA